GCTGGGCTATAAGATGAGTAACACATGAAGTAGAACATATGACAGGGACATAACATTTCCAACAACATACATATTACTGGGACATTTTTCCCAAAGACTTGGTTAATACCTGACTCTGACAGTTTTGGTTTGCCACTGCCCTGACTCAGATGCAGCAGCAACATCATCAATCAATACTGTGATATTGTGTGTTTGTGAGTGTATGTGTGTAGGAGTGTGGGTGGGTATATTACATAATTAACTCAATTTTACTGTTATTAAAATTTTAAAAATTAAGTTTTTAAAAACCCAACTCCGCCAACATGGTTAAAAGTCAACTGCTAATGCCCATCTAAGAGAACATAAAAATTGAGTCAAATGTTTTTTTTTTTCAGACACAATAGGCCCTAAACAATCATCTGAACTTTCTTTAAACTCACGACAGCACTTTAGTCCCTGGAGAGTCAAATTCTTCTTCCTCTACTATAAAAGACCACAAACACTGACAAAACATTTACTATATGTAAATGTGCTGGAACGTTCAACAGCCTTTTTTATCACCACATAAAATTCATTAAGTGCCGCAAAAACATTTTAACAAGGATGATAATGAAGTGTATTACATTTCAAATACTGATTGTAAATGTAGTGGAATATACTGTACTGAAAGTGTGTTGATGCTGATTTTTGTAAGATTCACCACATTATCCATCAGCAGTATTTAAAAAAAAAACAGCCAATCACAATGTGTTCCATTTATAAACACATATAAACATATTTTTACAAGAACCAGTGCAAAGGGGGTAAAAAAAGATGACAAAAAAAAAACAATCAAAAATGTATCTGATCCCATAAACTTCCTGTTGCCGTTAAGATAGCTTCAAAATGACTCAACACAAGCTCAACTTTGTCCTCTATGACCGTGGATCAAAATTGGTGGAAATTAAACACACACACAACTCTATTTGTTGCAACTTGGGGTCAGACTTGGCATATGAGCCTAAACATTTCACTTCAACAGCCAACCCTGTGAAATCAAACTTGGCTCCATGCATCTTTATCCGTCCCCCCTTAAGGTCATCTCTTCTGCCTTACTTTAGCCTTTATTGGCTTTTCATCTGAAAACTGACCCAACTTGACGTCTGTGTAGTGGAAAAAGGAGTTCCATCAATTTAAGACATGATTTGAAATGAACTGTAGGAGTGTGTTCTACATCTGACCTGGCCAGCGACTTTCATTTTCAGCTCAAGGTGCAGTTTGTTTAATTTGTCCTCTATTCCAGCTGTCCTGCACTAACTCATCTGTGTCCTTTTACATCAGTTCTGACATTACAGGACCGGCACATACGCACTAGCGGCACACTGACCTCTGAGCTGTATAATAAAAGTTCTGACATTCCTGATTGAGCCTTGAAATCCCCTGCACCAGACTGACCTGTTCTAATATTTATATTTTACACATACATTCTGAAATTAATGGAACAGTTTAGGAGACAGGTTTTAGTAAATCTTCTTTAGATGTGTTTAAAATATCACCAAAGTCATGACTTATTATAAAGCCTGAAGTAAATGGATCCTTCCTATGACATGTTTATAAAAGATGAATGATTCTGGAAACCATTTAGGGTTATTAAAGTAGGTCCTGGCTTATTTTGGAATGTTTAATACTCCTTTGTTGCCAATAAAAGTAAGGTAAGCTTTTACAGCATTGTTGTAAAAACTCTCCAGGCTTTTAACTTCATTTCAAAGACGTAAGCGAGATCAAAAGTTACAAATGCAAGATTCAAACACGTACATCAACAAACTACAGTTGTTACAAAGTGTTTTAATGATCACTTTGTTTTATTGCAGTAAAGAAATCTGCCACAGCAGACGTTAGACCTATTTCAGATCACGGGCCATGATACAAGTTCTACAACTCTGAGTTACCCTGCAGATATAATTGTAGAGAATGAAAACACGGTGTGTGTCAGACACTGGGTGTACACAGTACCTGTGTTTATACAGTGTATCCATCAGCATATACGCACCTACCTCTGTCCTGACCTCATAGACAAATACAGTTTCCCCGATCATACAACTCCTGTCTTCACATTCGTTTACCATGTAAATGTTTAATTAGCATTGGAATTACGGGCCCATCCCAGATGCAGTAGTAGGATCATAAAAGTGAAGCTGTCAACAGTTAGGGGTGTGGAGCGGGCCCTCAGCAGGACAGCTGTGCTCTGCACAAATACAGTCCAAGGGCACTGAAGACGGGAAGGAAATTTAATTATCTACGCAATATGCGTTAAGCACAAAACAAAGCAGGTACACAACCAGAGGTGAGTGTGTCTCCACGCTGAGAGGCGTTTGTTTGTACTGAGACAACAAAAGGAACAACAAACACCAGTTATTTTTTCGGTGGATTTTTGTATTAGTAAAATGTTTAGATAGATTCAGCTTGGAATCTATCTACATCATTTATAACCAAACTTGCTGATTCACTGGATTTCCCCCAGAATACATGATTTAAATATGCTGTGAGACAGTGGCTTTAAGTGTAAGACAGCAGTACTTGTGGTGCAGATCCATTTCATAACACCAGCTTCAGGGCAATTCACATCCTTGCTGGTGTGAAAGGTTTCTGCCTGAGCAGACTTAAACCAAAAATACACAGAACTTGCGCAGCTGAGTGGAAATGAAACACAAGATGTTGGCTACTTCAACAACAAAAACAAGACACAGAGGAAGAAGAATCCCCCATGACAAAGGACAGAAGTCTGATTGAAGAAACCTACGAAGTATAACAAGAGAGACTGAAATAGCTGAGAAAAATAATCTGGTGCACTTGAGACAACTACATGCTTTCTCTCTGTTCCATATTTTTCCGTCTTTGGTTTGTCTGTTTTAAGGGTCAGCTACAGCCGACACAGACCAGAAAACAGAGGTCACCATTGTGGTTGATGATGGCCGAGTTCAGGCAAGTGTGTTGCCTAAAGACACATTGACATGCAGACCTGCGGAGCCTAGGATCAAATCTTACAACCTTCAGTAAGCAGACAAACACGTGTTACCACTGATCTACCCTTTTGGTAATCTATTAGGAATACTTTCAGTGTATCAAGGTAGTTTGTTGACTTACTACAAGTAGCTGTGAACAAAAAAATCAGACGTAATTTTTTTTCCCATCAGTCATTCCCTGAGATGTTTAAGACTCTACCTGGGCGTGTGAGCCAGAGTGAAGCGGCGCCTCTGGAGGTTAATGCTGCGGTTCATCAGCAGCTTCCTGAAAAGCACTGGGGAGTTTCGAGGAGACCCGCGAGGGGAATCCTTTGGCGAGTTCTTTGGTGATCCTCCAGGTGAAGCTGGGATGACGGATCTGGGCATGAGTTGAATAACAGGGAGCCTGGTCGTCCTCTTCTCTTGAGTCATCTCCTCAACTTCAGACAGCTCGTCCTCAGAACTTTCAGAGCGTGGATTGTTCATTGCAACCAGATGGAAGTCAGTGATCAGAGATTTGGTTCCTTTGGTTCCACTGAGGAAGTGTCTATTAACTGTTTCTTGTAGGGTTTCTCAGAGTGACTGTACACAAGCCTCTCAAGATAAAACATATAGCTGTAATTTATCTTTAGTTAAAAATCCTATAACAATAAAATAACCTATTTTTTAATCTTTATTTGAATCTTGTCTCTTCCTCAGAACCATGTCAGACTGGGCAACAGAGACAAACATTAGAGTTGATGTAGTCTCTCTGCCTCCCTCCCTCTCCCGGCCTGTGTTTACTTTAGTGCTAGGCCTTCCCTCTCTCCATCTAAATATGGACGTCTGATTTACAGGGAGGAGAAACATGACAGATCACCTCCTTTTCCGTCTCTTTTTCCACTCCCCTGCCTTCTCTTCTCCTTTCTTAATCCTATAGAGCAAATGGCTCTTCAACCTTAAGCTCTGCTTCATAATGGGTTCCTCCTTAGCTTCCCAGTGTATAAACATGAAGGTGCAGTCTTGCAACTTGTTCCTGTTGTTCTACAGCTGACTTTGCAAACTAAGCCTTTTCTCTCCAGTCCCTGAGGTGCAACTCACTGTCAGGCTGGCTATTTTCCTGAGAGAGTGTCTCTTTGCCTTTCACATGCTCTGAACTTACCAGGACCAGTCACATGAAGATCCCCAAGCTATAAAAAGCAGAGGTAGATAAAAGCTAAAGAGGGCATGGTGCTGTCACGATGGCGCTCCATATCTATGACTAGAGGCAACATCATATTCTGACCCACCAAATCATCTTTGTTTATCTTTGAAAGAAAAAAAGAGTAAGAAAAGGTTCTAAACACCGGTGTGGTCCACAGAGACTAGAATAACCTCAGGAGCTGGAGCATCTGACACAGGACTGAACCTAAGACCAACAGCAGGCAGAGAGAACAGGGATGAAAGCTTCTTTGTATGGGTTGATGCTAACGGGGATTTTACTGTATGTATCCTGGAGTTATGGCATTTAACCATAGACTGTGCATGTAACATAAAGGTCACAACTGAGAGTCACATTTTTGAAGTTTTTGCCTCCTAAAGACTGGCTATCAAAAATGCAGTCCTCAATTTACTACTTACGAGATTTATGTTTTTGCGGCAATGCAACTCACGTTTACACTGCAAGGAACTAACATATAATCACATATTACAATTGACAAAATATGTAGGGAATCAGAACCTGCTGGCGAGGAAACTATTCCTTTTACAGTTAGTCACAGCGAACAACAGTGAGTGTCACGAGGAAACTGCTTTAAAATTTTCAATAAATCATTTTTGCTGACAGGTGTTAAAGGCAGTCATATATATATATATATATATATGAAATTATTTTGTATTTAAATTATTTATTTTTGTAGATTTTCACCAATGAGCAATTTTTTTGTTACAGTCGTCAAAGCATGCTCTTTCTATCAAAAAAAAAGGTTCAAAGAGATTAAGCCAACTCAAAAAGAAGGAATGTGAATGTCAGCGGTCAACTGTAGGGGGCGCGCTAATATTTAAACGTTTGTATAACGGAAATAAGAATACGTTGTACGGTCCTTATTTCCGGTTGCGGATCCGGAGGAGGTGTGTGCTAACGAGTGTTAGCCGTTTGTGCTTCCAGCGGGCGTTCAAGTCAAAAAGCCAGGCACGGTGGCTTCATGTGATTGTTTTAAATGGTGGGTTTTTGAAAACAATTGTCAGTTGTATTTTGTTTAAAATGGTAGTCGTTCGGTCGAGACCGTTAGTGCAATTCACGCTATCATATGTGTCTCGGCAGCTAACGTTAGATTTTGTCAGAAGTTACAATGATTCGTAGTTAGTTTTTCGTCCTAAATAATGAACATAGAGTTGTCGTGGTAAATAAGAAATTGGCCTTTGACGGGAGTTTGAGCTGGGCTGATGCACCTTTTTGAAAATATGAAATGATACTGCTTTTCTGTACAGATGCCCATCCTACTGCAGGACCACGGACGGTCCATCACTCAGATTAAATACAACGGAGGAGACCTTCCAATCAAGCAGTAGCACACCTGAGTTGAGAGGTTTAATCAACTGGTCTCAGTCTTCAGAAACTATGTGCTCTTGGTTGGTTGGAACAAAAACCTGCAGCCACATGGCCCTTTGAGGAATAGTTTGGGCATGCCTGGTCTAAGTGGAGCTACAAATGGCAGCACGACTCGCAGAGTCGAGTAGCAGAGTAATTCTCTGCCAGATTTGACTTGCAATTGTGTTACAAGCATAAGGCTATATGCTCTATAGTGTATGATATGAAAATCATATTTGTAATCATGCAAAGGGAACAGAGGCCAGTAGAATTGATTTATTTTCATTAACATGGATTTCTTCCTGAGGTTATTGGTGACACAGTAATGTAGAGCAAACCAATAATTTGTGAAGTGAAGCCATGGTTGCATTGAAGCCTTTTAATGTTTACCTTCAACAATGTCTCCCCACACAGGTGGAACGACTCGTTACCTAAAACGGACACATGGGAGCTGTGTGGTTCTTCGACTGTGACTGTATCCTTTGATGTTATTTAGCTCGGTCTGCTGCTGTGTCTTCACCAGGGATATCACTCATAATTAGCGATATGAAGGCCCTAACATTTCCTGAGTAGCATCAGAAAAGAAAACCAACGTGAAGGTGAACTCAAACAACAAACGCAATAAACAAGAGAAGACTGGCATACTGCAACAATGTTATGACATTAAAGGTTATGTTATCATGGAACATCACTGTGTTGTGAAACCAATAAAAGCATAATAATTGTAATATTGTGATTAATTGTCTGACAGTTATTGGACCAAGTAACTGTGTAATCATGACACAGTTGACCCTAGCCTACGCTCATGAATTGCTGCCATGCTACCTTCCCTAACAGGCTTTTCTCAGGGGACACCAAAAATATTTTGACAGGATCAGCTGTCGACTGTGGGACTGCGAGACCGGAGGGTGAAAAGAAAATGCATGCGTTCAGATAGATGGAACCTTCTGTGAATCCCTTGGGAGTTCAGCAGCAAAACAACAATAAAAATGCAGGAGTAGCAGCACACTGTCTTATGAATATGGGAAATCTGAACAGTGGATGTTGGTAGATTAGTAGGTAATTATATTTGTTATACTCTTGTTATTCTAAATTAAATTGGTATGATGTGAAGTATACCACATTATAACTATGATATGTATATATATATAAGCAGAACTAGTATAATTATAAGGATGTTATGTGAACAAGTATGTAAAATAAATACATATGAATATATACACAGTGTAAATAGTTGAATTGTGAAATCCATCCATCCATCCATTTTCATCCGCTTATCCGTTAACGGGTCATGGGGGCAGCAGTCGCCACCCAAATCACATTGCACCGTACCAACCCCCCCAAACGTTCCTGCGGGTGGTGAGTCCACTGGAAGGTTGAATTGTGAAATAATTAAATTAAATAAACAGCTAGATAGGCGGTTCCAGGAGACCTATTATTGTATGAGTGTTTAAATGTAGTTTGGACAGTTTCCTGTCAAGGGTTTTATGTTTTGGTGTTTAATTTTTGCTCTGTGTCACTTCTTTAATATCTGCCATTAGAACAAGAGGGTTCGATTTCAGCAGCATCGTCATGTTTTCCACAGACGAGCAGATGGGCTGTCAGTGTTTCATGAACTTCGACCTGAGGGATCCACAGATCGGTAGGTAATCGTTACACCGAATGTGAACAAATTAATACCGTAAATGAAACGAGACTGCAGATAGTACACAGC